CAACCATTGTGGTCATTCTCTTCACTGTCTTTGTACAGGTGGGAGAATAATGTCAAATGTGAATGTGGAAGAAAAACCAGTTCCTGTATTTATTATTTATCTTGGACATGTTTGGTTTCATGGGGTATTTTTCTGGTTATATTTTCTGATTTCCAGGGGATGACCATAAAGCCTCTGGTGGAGCTGTTGGATGTGAAGAGAAAGAAGAGAGCTCTGCCTACTGTCAGTGAGGAGATCCACAGCAGGGTGAGAAATTACAGCAATCACAGTGAAGTGCAGCGTCTGTAATTTAGAACACCAATATTACAGTGTACAGCGATTTTATTTATAGCTCAGAATTTAATTAATACATCGCCTCAATATAGATAGGTTTACCTTTGTGACTCACCAACAAGAGCATGTGTTGTAGCTTTATTCAAAATTTTATATCAGCTTCACCTTATTTCAATTTTCTTACTTTTTGGGAACACATTACTACACAATGTACACAATGCACTTTGTGCATGTTTGTGAATTACTTACTTGTAGAAGTTGCACATGCAGGGCTGGCGTTGTGGGTATAGTGCGCAGATTCACATCGCATTTGAAAATACAAATCATGACACAAAGCATATGGAACAATGTATTTAGAATCAAGACAAATATATGAATGATACGTTGATATCATGTCTCTTCTTAGCTCATTGATCACCTGCTGGCCGGGATAGAGGATGTGGTTGGTTACTGGGGGCAGCACTACTGGAAAGACAAGTTAGTTTCACTTTATTTTACCTTCTCCATGGATTTCCCCTGACATGCGTGGCGGAGCATGTTCATAAGAATAGGAACAGAAATCACCAGTAGATGGCAGCAAACACCACATGCAAAAGTTTCTGATCATTTTCCACATTCAACTGGAAACTAATGCATGTTGTGTGTGTGTACCTGTGTGTGTGAGTGAGGTTTGAGCAGTTCAACAGAAAGTACCTTCGCCGTTTCCTGATCCGTGAGGACCACCAAGCTCGCTCCAGCATCCTCAGAGTTTACCAGGAGCTGGAGAGAAGGGAGCAGAGAGGAGACGAGGAGGCACCACCAATGTGAGAAAGTATTTTTTGTTACTTTATATCAGCATCTTGCACAGAAAGGAGTCCCGTAAGGGTGCTAAAAACAGTGAGAAATGTTTCATGACCATCATGGTTATCTGTGTTGCTTCAAATCTTTAAAAAAAAAAGTCACTGCTCCTCGATGGTGAACCCTGGTTCAACTCAAATAATTTGTGAGATTCCCTCACAACAATATTTGCATTTGTTTTAAAGTCAAAAGTAATAGAATAGCAACACTTTCCCTGTCAATTCTGATGGTTTCTCCTACTTAAGACCCCAGTTAAAACACTGAAGCTGATTGAATATGTGAGTCTTTGCCAGTGGTGTAGTGGTGCCTGGTGAAATGGGTATACTATTAACATATGCCCCTTTTTTTTAAAAGCAGCCCATCCAGCAAAGGATAAACACCCTGTGTTATAAACAATGACCTGTACAACTACAATTTAATTCACCCAATAATGACCCAGCAGTATTTGCTCATTGTCACTTGAGTTCTTCATCAGGTAGTTAGGATCATTATGAATTTAACATTACTACAGAAGAGATGCAGATTTTTGCAATCAATACTGGCCCACAGACTAGGTGATGCTGTCTTATTGGGGCAGGGTGCAGTTGTGGGTGCTGGGCCATTGCTACAGCACTGATGTAGCATCACAAGGTAGTTTGTAATTCTTAAAGCAAATTTTTGTTTCAGTAGTTTTCTTCATTTCCCCTATTAATTTCATTAATGAAAATAAAGAGGACTTTTTTTTTTTGTGCTATTATAGAGGTGAACCAACAGGGCAGGTAGGCAGCAGGTGATTTCTTTTTCCCAGGTTGGCGTAGCATAGGCCTAACCCTAACCCTAACCCTAATCCTAATTGGTTTACCCTCATATTTTTACCCCAACCCTAACCAATCATTAAGGTGCCAATCAGAGGCTGAGTAGGGTGGGTCATGCCATTGCCGAAATAAGTAGGTATACGGCGTACACTTGCATATACTCTACATTACACCACTGGTCTTCACAACACAGTTTTTGGCTACATCATTGTGAACCTTCACACTTTGCTTTAGAGTGGACCCTCGCTCTCACAGCCGTCCTCTCTTACCCGAGGAGATGGACAGCATCAGGCGTATCCTCTCCAGAAACCTTCATAACTTCAACAATAAGGTAAATTCAGAACTTTTGGCATGAAAACAATATTTTTATAGCATTATGATATTAGACCAGAGAACTTCTACAGGCGTGTGCTATTCATATGTCCTTTTCTGGGTTTGTGTGTGGTCTCACTCCAGCAGACGCCGGCTTACAGCAGACACACTTTGCATCAGTACGCTACCACGGAGAAAACAAGGAGACCTCTTCACAGACACCAGAGTCTGGGAGAGAGATACTCATATAATACAATCACACACTGGTCACAGGTACTGTATGCATGTAAACACACAGGTTTGCCTGAATTAACATGTCATTAAGCCTTATTTTGACTCTCATTTTTCTTGAAACAAGAAAAAAATGATAACATAGTAATTCCATGTGTGAAGTTTAATTCCAAAATGCTACATACTTCATCAACTCTGCAGAAAGAAACTGGCACATGAAGTTTATCAGGCGGTGTTTGAAGCTATAAATGATGAATTGTATTTTGTCATGTTAGGATAAATACAGTATAGTAGATCAATATTTTTCTAAAGAAAAGACAACTTTATTCAAAGGTACTATATGTAAGAACTGTGTTACCAGTTTGTGAACAGATTGTAACATAACCAAAAAAAATTTTTTTCCCAACTTTATCGGTTGCATATAACAGCCTATGGATTTCTATCTAAAAGACTTTTCCAGGAAAATTGTGTCTAAGGATGTGACGTTTATACTCGCTCCAGAGTGCCTTATTGCCTCAGTGCCTCTCTTCTGCTTCCCTACAGGGCCAACACTGTGCGACACTAGCTAACGTTTAGAATTGGAGTCCTCTAACGTCAAACAAGACCGGCTCCCAACAACAAAATGTCTGTTCTTTAGAACCTGTTACTTTGTAGGTTTTATGTGCATTATCAAATTATTATGTTACTCATCCCACTCCTATCATCTGTTTATGTTAGATTAGGATTATCGTTGTCTCAACTCACTGCCAGACACATTGAGTACATTAACATAACTTGCCAGATCTATTCTATTATACTGAAACATTAGCACATCTACTTAGGGAAATGAGAGTTGTGATGGAAAATATCACATCAATTATGAAGTGTGGTAGTTCACCTTATTTATAATATTATGCCCTGTTCACCAACAGTTAGTGTTAGCATCCAGCAAATTATTGACATTGCTGAGACTCTGAGTTAAAGCTAGACACACAGCAATTGATAAAAGCTGGCTAGTTAGCTAACGCAAATATATCAAATAAATGCAGTCAGTATATCATGCAAAGAGAATGGATTAGTTCAAAATCCCTATAGCCTATATTGTTCTAACTAGCAAGCTGATCACCATATAGCTTTATAGATCCTATTTCAGAAAAATGTAACGTTAGTCGAACTATAGTCAGTTCATTGCCAGTCCTTTCGCCACACTTCTTTTTAGTGATGTGACAGCGCTGGAGAGTCACATAGTCTAAAATATAATATCAAACTGACATTGTGGGGACATTGTTTCAGGAAGCTATTGTCACATTTCACTGTGTTTCCATTGTTACAGCGGGAGGATAGAGAGTTCGATGGATCACACAGAGTGAGAGCAGGACTCAGCAGGTCTCACACAGGTAAAGTGCGAAACATATTAACCACATATTAAACGCAGGTTCTCCGTCCAACATCTACCCTGGACTAAGATCCCAAGGACTTTTATGCACAGATTTGATTGAAATACTGCTGCACAATGAAAATAGATTACAGAGAGTTCAACAGAAAGACTGTTTGTACTCAATTTATGTTTCAAGAAATGATTGTTTTATCCGCGCATCTGCTCTCTCTCAAGTTTTCAGTACTCACCAAAAAACACATAATATAACACAGAGTATAGAGACATATCATCAGATTGTCCCTTGTCTCGCTCCTCCTTCCCGCCTTTGACCCTGACAACCGCAGTTTGACTCTTCTGACTTTGTGGCTCTTGAGCCCACTTTAGCCTCTCCTCTCTCGCCAGTGTGCTCCATAAGCCCAAGGCCCATCCTCCAGGATTCATCAGTCCCAACAGCCTCAGCTCAGACTGGGCAAGTGGATCCAAAATCATCAGCTGCCAGAGAGGATCGGATCTCTCCCCAGCATCAAATACCCGTGGGAAGAACCCCTAAGAAACATCTCAGCTTTGTGTTGGAGAACGAGAAGTAGCAATGAAGACAGACTGTGAGAAAGAAAAAGAGAGGAAAAGACATGTAAAGCAATGAATTCTGTATGTTCAGCCATTTTAAAACGGCTCCATAAAGTAATAAGTTACTATTTGTGGGGTGCAAGACTGGGTTGATGAAAGGTTTTAGCCAATTACGGACATTTTCCAAATGAAATTATTAAACTGGGTTCAATTATTCACCTTCAGCTTTTATCATTTTGAGTGTTTGCCAGCCACAATAAAGCTTTCCTCAGCTCCATGTTTCACCTTTTGAACAGCTCTGGTGTAGGTTTGAGGGTCATTTACATCTCCGGTCTAATTCATTTTCAAAGTGGCTCTCCAAGAGTTACACCTCCTTTAGAAATACCTTGCAGTCATAAATGCTGATAGTCGCTGTCCACATTGTAACACACACACAAACCAATATTGCCTCTCCTTGTTTTCTTTATAAATGCACAGCACACCCACTGGTAATTTGACAAGGACAGCCTTCCTAAAATAACTCCTGCACCCCCCCGCTTGACCTCCTCAGTTGCTGTAGTTTCTTTCCCTGCAGCTCCCAGCATGCCAGGGAGTGGCTGGCAGAGCCAGACTGTTTTCTTTAGGACTGGGGCTGAGCAGAGGGCTGCAGTGGACACCAGTGAGGGGCTGAGGAGTCACTGACCTGAGGGCTGAAAGCTGAGGAGAAAGGGCACAGTGAAGGAGGTTTTAGGCTGGAGTCATGAGGGTGGGAGCAGCAGCCTTGGCTGGGGGGATTTTTGGGGCGGTAGCGACCCTGTGTTTCTTCCTGGCCTTTGGTACAGACTACTGGCTGGTGGCCAGTGACAACTGTGGACCATATACACTGCCAACGCAAACAACCCTGACAGGGGAAAAAGATGCCAATGGGACTGAGGTAGGACAGATACATGTGTGCACATAATCGTCCATAAACAAATTCATGCACAGAATGTAAACTTCACTGTTAGAACTGGTTTCTACTCTCCAGTTAAACAAATGCATATAATAATAGTCACAGCAGTATAATATCTTGAACAGTGAAACATCACATGTGATAACCATAAAAAGACCAGTGTGGAACCTGATCAGGTGCTATGTAGACAGTGGGGTGCATGCTATGCCATTGTAGGATATTTAAAGATGTAGTGAAGCAATTTAGTGTTGCACTTCTGTATAAGAGACAGAAAAACACTGGACAAAATCAATGCAACAGAGACTGAGAGAGCCTGACTTTTAGTCTGACTTTTGACAGACATTTAGTATGGGTCGACTCCCAGAAATGCCAGATCTTATGCTCCCAAAATGCAGTTATTGCTTCATTAGACCCTCCCTGCCCGGTCAGCTCACATGTCTGTCAAACCCCATTACCCCAGTTAGCAAAACAGTCTTTCTGTTGACAGATTAAGAATCTACAGTCATGCTAACCTGCTAAAACTGTTAACATTAGCATGCTAATACTCTCACCATGACAATGCTAACAAGCTGATGTAAACTAAGTACAATGTTTAACATGTTCACTATCCTGGTTTGGTATGTTAGCATGCTAACATTTAGTAGTAGTCCAAAATAACCCTGATGACATCATCAGAGCCATGATACAACTGTTTTCATTGATTGAGTAGTCAACTGATCTTCATGTGTAAAATCATGTGTACTGCCCTTTTAATTTCCCAGTTTATTCTTCCATACCACATTTGTGAGAAAGTTCTCAAAATGCAAAGTAAGGGATATATTTATAAAAGTAAATCCCCTGTGAGTTTCTCATGAACATCACAGCAAAACAGTCTTTCATTTTCAATAAAAGACGATGATTAAAGTTGCTGTGTGTTATTTGGTGCCATCAATCATATTTTTGACAAGCAAGTGGAGAGTATCACTCATGCGTGTTTCATAAGTTCCCCTTGAAAACCTCACAGACCAGCAGGCCATAATCAGAACCATGTTTGATGTCGTGGCACCACTGAAACACAGGCACACACAGAGCAGCTAACACAGACAGGCGTTGACAAAGCTGACAGACATTAAGGTTCATCCATCTTTAGATATTTGAGTGTGTTCATCCCCAATCTCTGTCTCTTCTTTAGATCCAGTTGGAGGTTCCTCCTCCGTCTCTCACCCTCCACCATGAGGGTTTCTTCTGGCGCTGTGTGTTTCAGGTGGAGCCCACAACACATGCAGTCCTGGCCACTCTCTTCAGTATGTAAAAAACTTTCTTTTAAGGTAGCAAAAAGTTTTTGTTGGGGCTTGTCCAATGTGGTGGCATGTCTCATGCTCAGTTGTGTGGTCTCCCTGACATGCTAACAAGTGTAGGAAAGAAAAATGTCTATAATTTGGATATTTGACAGAAATATACAGTAAGAAGAATTATGTTGGCTTTTATTTCAGTTTATGAGGCGTTTTTGGTTTTTCACTCTTGTGGTGTTTCTTATTTTTCCCTGGACCCAACCACATCCAGTCATTTTCAGAACCACATTATTTTTCTTAGGTTTTGAATTTTCTTTTTGAGCCTTAGACTTTTTTACTTTACTTACAATTTTTTTATTTTACTTTACTCACTATTTTTTTTACTATCCCCATTTCTTTTAACTGTAGCAAACCAGCCAGAGTCCAAGGTGTGTATCCATGGTTACCTCTTCCCTCTGCCTGTTGCACTTGGACCGGTGCCTCATCCAAGTTATGATGCTACAGCAGGTAATTTACAAAGTCACAAACACATGATGTATGTACACACACATGCAAGTATTTCCACAATATTGTAACTAACAGTGAAACTAAAATTTCAGGGCGGTTTTGACGGAGAAATAAATAAAAAAATATAGACATATTTCCGCTTCATATACATACAAACCAGGGTCAAAGCCATGGGTCAAAGTCCTACAATATAACTTGCAACAGCCACATTTTTTTTTATTATTTGGATTTTTGACATGTATTTAAGTTCAATATTTTCCTAATGTTTCATATCCCAACATGAGGATCTAAATGCTGTGTCAGAGCCATCCCCACAGTCCCCAGTAATACAGTTCTAGTGGTAATTACTGAATCTTATTAATTATTTGACCTAAAAGTATTCAACTTTAAGTGTAGAAATATTGGTATCTGGCTATATGACATAAAAAATATTGAGGACATGACCTCCTCGTCCTGAGGACCAATATACATATAGGTCCACTGCTCTGATGGAGGCCTTGTTGTGTTTCTTGTGCAGTGTTTCGGGGTTTCTGGACCCTGCTGATAATCCTCGGGCTGGTCTCAGCTCTGACTGGAGGCTTCCTCTTGGTCTGTGGTGTCCCCTTCATCAGCCACAAACTCTACAAGTTAGGAGGAGCCTTCCTCATCACTGCTGGTAAAATCTAAACTACTGCATGTGTACGTGTGGAGTTCATATAGCGGTGTGAAATATACTGCTGGGGGAATAGGTGAATGTACAGACACAAACACGTATTGCAGTCATTGCTGCTGTCAGCTGTTCATGCCTGTCACATAACAAATACATGCACACAGGGCAGCAGATGCCACTCTGCAGCACTGTCACTATAACAACAGCAGGTGTAAACACTGCTACCGTGGTAACAGTAGAGATGAGTAGGAGCTGCATTCCTCTGCTGTTACTCATAGCAGTGATAGCCTCTGTGTCTCCCTGACACTCTCTCTATCACTCCACAGCTTGCCTGTTCCTGTTCTTGCTCCTGCTCTACGTGCTGTGGATGGAGGTGGTGGACGTGAAGCGCTACGTCCTCCAGGAGAGAGGAGAGGCGTGTCCAGATGCCAAGGTTTCAGTGCTCTACGGCCTGTCATTCATGGTGGCGGCAGCTGGCGTGCCTCTGGAGCTCGTCTCTGGGTTGGTCTTCATGATGGTGGGCCGAGCGCTGCATGCCAGCAAGTGAGCTCATCATCTGGCCCGAAGGAGAAGAGTGGACTGACCTTTTCATGTCCTGCACTGGGACTCAGCAGCACACTTGTGGGATGTAAATACTGGCAGGAAAGATCAGCCAACATTACAGCACCACCCTTTGGATGTTAGGTAGCATGCAGGCAGAGACACTGCTGCTGTAGCAGTTTTCTATCACTTGCTGTGCTTGATTTCCACAAAAATCACCAGTTACACAGGAATATTAAAACCACGATAGTTCAGTGGTAGAGTTTATAGGATTAATGTGATATGATATGGATATGATACTGGCACCAAGGAGCAGTATAAGATGTTTTTTCTAAGCAAAACTCTGAATATAAATATTTCTTCCACTCAGCTGAATCCCACTGTCATTCCACCATTTGCTTCTTTTATCAATGCTGCAAATGAGCGGAAGGTGAGAAATGCATGGGTGAACCAGCTGTGTCCCCTGTCCTGGTTTTGGCACAGGATCAGAGTAGGCTAGCTGGAGCAGAGTGAGGAGGGAGGGAGGAATGGCTGGATGGACTGGAAACAGAAATGGCAGGTTTGGGTGTGGGGGTGGAGCAGGAGAGGGATGGATGTGGGTATAGGGGGGATAGAGAAAGAATTGATGTGTGCAGGGGGGCAACAAGGGGGCTTTGAGAAATGAACAGCTGTCTGTGGGTTTGGTCGGTGTGCAGCGGGCCGGCCACCTGCCTCCTTCACCCCAGTCATATTTCACCCCCTCATTCAAATCCTTATGCTTTCTGTTTTCAGCCTCACACTATTATGTTTCTCCATCCCACCCTACATGTAAATGTTAAATTCAGAAACCTCCAAACCCCTGCCTCTAATAGATGTTCTACTGACACATACCCATTGCACACACACACACACACACACACACACACACACGCACACGCGCGCGCGCACACACACACACACACACACACACACACACACACACACACACACACACATAAACAATCCCCCACACCATTCTGTCTGTTCCAAAGGGGAAACACAGACATGTGATTGTATCATAACTGCAACAATATTAGATCATCCTCCTTTTTCATTGGGCTGAATGTGCAGCATGTGGAAACAAGCAAGTGGACTCTCAATCACACATATCAGCTTTCATCTGCTGTAGTGTGGAGAAGAAGTGGTGTTGGGCTGGGGGTGTGTGTGTGTTGAATGTTTGCTTCAAAGACCTCACTGATCAAACACACACGTTTATGCACACACACACACACACACACACACACACACACACACTTGCTGAGATCAAACTGGCACCAATGCTAATTATTTAAACTGTTTAATCCACATACAGTGCTGATCCTAGTCCTGATTTATGTAATATATGTAAGACTGTAATCTAGCACCATGCTATAGGACAGCTGAGTTTACCACACTGCCTGTGATGTCAGAGGACACCCTCTAACTTTGGTACTTTGCAGCTGTTCTTTTACATGATGGTTACTGGTAAATGTGTGTGTGTGTGATTATATGATATACAGTATATTCAGTGGTGTGTGCTTGTTACTAGTTTTCATAGTCGTTCACTAGGACTAGTGAGTACAGAAGCAGCTTTTTATCAAACATGGTGAAGGTCACCCGATGTACATTTGCCAAACGGTTTTCATCCATAAAGACTTTTCTCTTGTTAAAAGCAAAACACGATGTTTGAAAAATATCTCCAATAAACCATAATTTATATGTTTCTGTGTCTGTCTGTGCTTCTTCACTTCATTGTGGTGCACCACGGTGGACTAGTTAAAGCTAAAACACTCACTTTAACTTAGCTTAGCTTTGAGAGCTACCAACAACTGCAGTTACAGTAATGATGAACTATTCTGAGCTCCTTACCAGAAGGGGCAAAAAAAAAAAAAATTATCCTGAGGGTGGTGGACGAAAAGTCATGGGGTTATTGAAGTCAAAAGGGTTAATCCTTGGAGGGGCACAAATGTGAGACTGACTTTTGAATCTATTTTTTCCACCAGTGCAAATATTGGCCTGTGGGTGGAGAGGTCAGGAGGGCAACCAAAAATCACGATTTGGGGCCATGACTATCCACAACAAATATAACAGAAATCTGGCAAACACTTGCTAACATATCAAATAACATTGTTTTGGCCCAAAAACCAGTCAATGATCATGGACAAGCCAAGAAACATGAAGACACGCTATTGCAGCAACACGCAGTTTAAGGAAAATACCGACAGGTTAGGAGGTTTCAGGGTTGAAACGGCCAACGTTCAGGGGTCATGTAAATGACACTCATTAGCCACACCAAACTAATTAGTCATTATTCACAACCTCGATAAATAGCTGGCATCATGTTCACTTGACTCATCAAGGTGGTCGAATTACCACAGTCAGCCAGCAGAGGGCTCTCCAGCTCTCCTCTTCAGAAGGACAATCTCCCATGCATGGACAGACAGAGGGGAGAACATGAGAGCAGTCAGTGGAAAGGAAAGGAGATGAAAGGCAAGGAAAGGAAAGGAAAGGAAAGGAAAGGACGCAATTACTGAACAGAGTATTGAGCTAGAACGCTGGCTTGTTCAATGACTGTAGCTCTTCCTAATCATAGTTAATTAACTCTTATGTCTCCTCCCCTGTCATCCACAACAATGGAAACACACTATCACTTCATTTAAGGAAGAAATAATCTTGCACTTGAAGTGTCAGCAATAATGGCATTATAATATTATGCATATGGCATAGTGAGCATCACGTGAATTAAGACATGACATGATAATAAAGTAATAAATGCTTTGCAAATTAACCCCGGCAGACCCAAGCAACCCAAAGAGCATACGTCTCGTTGATTAGGGGTAATGAGTGTGAATCATATGTATATGTGGATGCATTTGCATGGATATGGATATTTGTTGATAATTTCCCAGTATTTGCCGAAGGTTCCATGGATGTGATGTGTCAGACAGCAAACAGCAGGATGTGGCCTCACACTAGGTAGGGAAAACGAACCCTATAGGCGGATTCCTCACCCCTCCGTCCTTCAGAGCACCTGGACTGAATACTGGTGGGCTCTAATCCAGTCAAAGAGGGGGATACACTTGGTGAGAGCTCTCTCCGTCCTTTCTCTAACCCCCTAACTCTACTAGTGAGCCGATTACCTGCTCTGTGTGTGTGAGCTCCAGCCCGCCACGGCCTGACTGTGGCTCTTTGTGGGTGTATGTGTGAGTGTGTGTGTGTGTGTGTGTGTTTGTGTGTATGTGTTTGTGTGTGTGTGCAAAGGGCCAGACGGACACAGTTTCTCGCAGATAAAGGCTTTTCTCCTGTCAAAAATGACTGCCCTGATAAGAGCTGATATGAGAGAATAGCAAGCCTTATGGCATCACTCTTGCTTTTTTGTTTCTTTTGTACACCCCAAATCCCCAGGAACAGCCCCACCACCTCCTTACACACACACACACACACACACACACACCACTAATCTGTATTGGGGAGTATAGTGGAGGTAGAGAGGGAGCAGGTGGAGGGATAAAGAATAGTTGCTGCGTGTGTTTCTTTTTCAATTTTTGTATAAATAACTAGCGTGGTCTTATTAAAGACATCCCTCCCCTCAAACACCCCCCCTCTCTCCACACACACACACACACACACACACACACACACACACACACACACACACACTCGCACACATGCATACACACTGTTCATGCAGACAGATTATGTCTCAGACAGTCAGAGCTCCTGCCTTCAATTAACCTCACAAAGACAGGATCACTTACACACACATACTCTGATGATGATAGTAGGAGGGAGACAGTGAGGAGTGTGTGCGTGACTGGCTGCTGTAACAGACAGCTTCTACTCCATAGTCATGATACAATAGTCGACTTATGAGTGGACGTTATATCATATGCTCTGTCTCCTGAGAGCATGTGCAAACATTCCTGTGTAGCGCCAAACATGTTCAAACTACTGAATATAACGTGTTTTCAAATGTTACAGCTAATTCACCAGATGTTGTTTTTGCTGCTGAAAAAAGTAAAGAAATTAAAAATTCAAGGTGGAGGTACTGTTGTGTGTAGTCTCAAGAAAATACACACTGGATGTATAGTAAATGGAAACAGCTTGTTTTTTTACATTTGGCAGGGGAGTTGTTCAGACTGGTGAGGTGAGGTGCAGATAGCAGGGATGCCAAAGAAAAGGGCTGAAAGAACTGGCAAGGTGCTGCTCTGTATTTGTATTTACTGGCATTCACCACAGTGAGAGGAAGTGCTGCTGCTAGTTTATAGACTGAAAAATAGAAACCAGCATATAACTGTGCTTTTATCTTTGTTTATGTATATATGTTTGTCCCTGGTTTGGCTGCACAAAGCTGGTTTCTGTCTTTTTTAGTGTTTGGTCAAAGTGAAGGCCTTAGTATGTTGCAAACAAAGAGCTTGTCAGATTATCTAACAGCAACTCAAACTCTCTTTCTAATGTCGAGTTTGGAGGACAATTCTGGTAACGTTTCAAGACACGCGTTCCAACAAGAACGCCCTTTTTGGCCAGGCGATTGGCCATGTGTGCAGAGGTGTGAATGTAAGGCAGGATTTGAACTTTGCTCTCACGCTCTTTTTTTTTTTTTCTTCTTGCTTTACAGACTATTTCTGTCACTTGTTGTGTGTAATACCATGAATGGCTTCATGGAGATACTGTCCGATAGTGTGGGCTGTCATTTCAGTTTGTACAATTCTTTGCATGACGACAGCAGAAACATCCAAAAGACAGAGTTCTTGAAGAGTAGTTGGGGATGCAGTGTAATGCGTGGGAGGATATGATGGCAGGTCTTTTCTTTTTGCTCCACCTCTGTATGTAGCCATGTATCATATTTGATTAGAAACACAAACAACATACTAATGATGGAAAAACTTATAATAAATAAGTTATTAAACTTAAATAAATGCTCCACAAATGTGTTTTGCTGGGACGTCCTGGTGGGTGTGACCTTTAAGATGCTGACAACAGTATCCATGAGCCAGGAGTTTGAGTCTGGCTTTTGATCAATGC